AAAAATGCAGCGCGACATAGATAGGTTAGGTGATTGGGCAGGTAGGTGGTAGATGAAGTATAATGTAGGGAAGTGCGAAGTCATCCACCTAGGTAGCAAAAACAGTAGAGCGGGTTATTTTTTAGAAGGGGAGAGATTGGAATGTGTTAGCGTCCAGAGGGACTTGGGTGTCCTTGTACACCAATCACAGAAAGTTAGTCTGCAGGTGCAGCAGCAATTAGGAAGGCGAACGGTATGTTAGCATTCATTATGAAAGGATTAGAGTATAAGAGTAGGGAAGTCTTGCTGCAACTGTATAGGGCCCTGGTGAGACCACACCTGGAATACTGTGTGCAGTTTTGGTCTCCTTATTTAAGGAAGGATGTACTTTCCTTGGAGGGGGTACAGCGTAGATTTACTAGGTTAGTACCAGGGATGAAGGGGATGAATTACGAGGATAGGCTGACCAATTTGGGCCTATATTCTCTAGAATATAGAAGAATTAGAGGGGATCTTATAGAAACCTATAAGGTCATCAAAGGTTATGATAGAGGAGATAGTGGGAGATTGTTTCCCCTGGTTGGAGAAACTAAAACCAGGGGTCACAACCTTAAAATCAGAGACCAACCCTTTCGCACTGAGTTGAGGAAGAACTTCTTCACTCAAAGGGTGGTGAATGTATGGAACTCACTGCCCCAAAGGGCTATTGACGCTCAGTCCTTGAACATATTCAAGACTGAGATAGATTTCTTATTGCAAAAGGGATTAAGGGATATGGGGATAAGGCAGGGTTACGTTATTAGCTGGAGCTAGATTAGAAGGTCAGCCATGATTGAATGGCGGGCAGACTCGAAGGGCCGAATGGCCTACTCCTGCTCCTACGTGTTATGTTATAGAATGGCAGAACAGGTTCCAGGGGCTGAATGGCTTACTAATGTCCCACCCACTTGTAGATTTGGATAATTTTGTAATTTTTTTGTTGGTCAGCCTCTGACACATGCGGAAACCCATCACCATTATTAAGAGTATCCAAAATGGGTAGTTCCATTTACATAATGCATGAAAATGTTGCTGTGTCTGGAATGGAATGTAACCTCTCTTCACAAATTGGCAAGACCCAAGGCTTGGGGAACTCAGAGTGAGGTCTGGGGTTACTGCTGCAGGTCAACCAGCTAAAACAGTATAGCTCGCCATCGAGAGCACTATCTGCCAACTTCCCACTGCTTGGCCAGTGAGCACTATCCTACCATTAGGGCTTTAACATGCAATGTTATTTTGTAAAATTAATTTTGTAACAGTTATCCAAAGAACACATGGATCTGAATACTCAAGAGTGTAAATTCATTCTATTGTAGGAATTGAATTTGTGTTCTATGGCTCAATATGCACTGTATAGTTAAGTACACTAATAAATATATTGGCCAAGTCAGTCCCAGAAAAAATACTTACTTTAAATATCCAGTTAACAATATTTTAATCTTCTCTTATATGATGTTCTATTTGTGTAAGAGACCACTAACAACTTTTACGCTGTCTTATTTCAATAATTCAGGACTGCAAGTGAAAACAGAACATTCACATCACAAATGTACATCAGTCCAAGCACAGAAGAAGGGAGGAGCTGTATTCCAAATGCCTGGAGCATTTTCCACCAAATTTTCTTTCTTATAATTAAATCCATGGTCTGACAGTAAGAACACCTCCGATCATCTTCTGAGATACATTTTGGTTTCAATCCTAAATTACCTTGAAAGACATCAAAATGACCGATTTATAAATTGAAAGTGATTTTATATTCTGCAATTACAGTTTCATCAGATTTTTAAAATCATGGGCACGACTCTCCCTCTTGAAATCCATCGCAGCTTTTGTTCCAACTTGATCTCATGCTATTCTCATCAATGCCTGGTAACAGACCAATATTGACCTTCAACAGTGAAACATCTCATACACTTCGACATTTGTACCACTCTTAGCCACAGGAAATAAAAGGACATATGATATAGTAACATGTTCTCAGGTTCAGGACTGCTGGTTCATGAGAAAAAAAATCTCCATTTCCAATTGCGTCATTCGAAATCCTAAAACAAGGTCTTATGAACAGACATTTAATTACAATTCAAAAGGTCAGTTTGTCAAAGTATTTCAAGGGTACAAATGAGATGTTTGTCAAGCTTCCTCATTGCATGCAACTGATTAATTTTTATTTGGGGTTCTACGCCAAGATAAATTCCAATATTGCTTTTGAAAACAAATACAGTTTTGCCATGCTAGTAAATGCTAAACTAAAACTGCAAATGTAAAGCTTTGAATTGAATTGCTGTTATCTTGTTATCAGAGCAATAGGTATGGCTTACATCCAAGAGCGTATTTATGTTACGAAATAATAGTAACAAAATAAAAGCAACCATCAATTATAGAGCAATTTCATTCCATTCTGTAGCACACTTTGAATAAAAAATCTTGAGACTATTTTAACAAGGAGGTAAACAACACACCATTAAGACAACCATCTATTTGACAAGCGTTAAGAATATTTGAAAGGAAGGGCTTAAATTCAGATACAAAAATAAATCTTCAAAAAAGAAACCACAAGCTTAATCTTCCCCTAAAATAGTATTTGTGTAGCTCCCAGTGCATTGGATGGCTGAGAAATAGTACTCAATCTGTAAAAACATCACTGGCTAGTGCTATGTAGGGTTAATTTGTTTGGCTGCAAAGTTCTGGATGAGTTTCAGTCTGCCGAAGTGGAGCTGGGGAGGCCAATGAGGAGATTTTAGAGAATTTTATGCAAAAGAACTAGGTTGTTACCAAGTTAAATCTGAAACAACTCTCAATTCTCTTTTCCAACAGAGCTTTAAGTCTCAAAATCATCCTCACTGCTCTTTGCACTCACACCAATATTTGTGTGATTTGGGGTTTTAAAACAGGTTGCCCAAAACACTCCATGAGATTCAAAATGTGAACTGAATTAATTACAATAATTTATTTTGATTTACAATTAAATACTCCAAGACAAATAGAATCCTCAAACTCACTTGCCCCACAGTAATCTCATTACCAAAACTAGCAAGCAGACTTGCCATCAAGTCCTTAAAATGTCATAAAATGCCATTATCTTTAATGCTTTAGTTATAGAGCAAACAAGTTTGGAGAAATAGTCTACCAAAAAACAGGAACAAACCATTTCAGCCAATCAAGCATGTTGCATCAGTGTATTAGATTATCAGATTTTTTTGTCTCAATTTCCCCTTTTTTTTGCCATACCCGTTAATATCTACTTCTCAAATATCTAATCTCTCTTCTAAGCATTTCTACGTATTCCACCTCTACAGCTTTACAGGGCAGAACATTCCACATTTTTACAATTCTTTGTATGAAGAAATAGAAAAGATAGAAAACACCATTACAATTAATGACAACTCATTCGAAAATCAAGGTTGAATCAAGGTTTTTCATTCAAAAGGTGCTATAGAGTGGAATGAAATTGCTCTATAATTGATGGTTGATTTTATTTGGTTACTATTATTACCTAACAAACAATTTGGATTTATAGTACCCTTTACGGAGAGAACAAACATGTCAGTTCCATTTACCTTCCCTTTTGCCATACCCATGTAGTTTATTGACTTCAATTTCAATCATCTTGATTCTGATTTTACGACTGTGCTTCCTTGTAACGGAGGCTTCTACCAAGGTGAAGTGTTGTCGACTATTTAACCTATCGATTCCTCTCATTATTTTAAATATTCAATTAAATGTCAGGCTGGCACAATGGTAGCTCTCTCGCTTCTGAGTCAGAAGGTTGTGGGTTCAAGCCCCACGTAGGGAGTGGGAATCATATAGTCTAAATTGACATTCCAATACAGCGATGGGGGTTGTTGCATTGTCTGAGGTATTTTGGATGAGGTTAAACTTAGGTTATGTTAAAGATCCAATGGCACCATTTGAAAACTGAGTTTCTCCCAGTGTTTTGGCTAAGACTGCCTAAAATAAAATTGCTCACTCACTCCATGGTTGTTTGTGGGACACTGCTGACACTGGCTGCTGAATTTCGCTCATGAAATGCACACTCAATCTACTATACAGTATATCCTGTGAAGTTCTTTGAGAAGTTTTCCATGATGTGATAAGATGCTATATCAAATGCAAGGATTATTTTTAAATCACCCGTTAACCTCCAAGGAATACAATTTCAGTCTACAAAACCGCTTATCATATCTGAACTCTTTCAGTCCAAGTATTAATCAAGTGAATCATCACTGGACACCATTCAAGCCTAATATTCTTAAGATTAATTTTTCATTGGCTGCAATTAGCGCTTGGACGTTTATGGCAGCCCACGCAAAGGCTCATGAACATAAAAAAAATTGAATAACTGAAGTTTTACTTCCTGGCATACGGTTCTTATTGCTATTAACAGACCCTCGTTAAGTTTCAAATTTAACCAATATTCAATGCCAGTTAATTACCTTACAAGTATAAAACTAAAAGCTGGTGTCATTAGACGTTCATAAGCCCAAAGCAACACATTTATTGAGGACTTATTGATGTAGAATTCCACTTAAATTAAGCAACAAATCAAAGTGCACTGCACTAAACTACACAATAAGCATCAACGGCACTACAAGAAATTAAGTATAAAGCAGACACCATTACAATTAATTACAACTCAGATGAAAATTAATCATCCCCAATCTCAAGGTTTGAAGCGCTTTGAGATGTCCTCAAATGTGAAAGAGGCAAATGTCAACTATATTGCATTAAGGTAATATTGGAGATTGAATTTAAAAATGCAACAGCATATTATGCACCACAGTGATAGTGATAACACATTGTCTTATTGTAATTAAGTTATTTTAGTATTTACACCAAGTACATGAAGAAAGCCCCATGTACATCATGCTAACAACTCCTAGGAGATCCTGCGGTGGAGCTGACAGAGTGACATACCCTGCAGGAGAAGAGCAGAAGAATTTGTAAATGAGGAACTGATAGCTGAGCCATAGACTAAGGCTTACCTGACCGAAAAGCAAACTGTTTAGTCAGTTCTTCAGCAATTGCAGCAGCATATAAAGGACCGCTGTCTTGCTGCATGATTTCATCTAGAAAAGAGCAAAAACAAGAATCACCATCTACTGTCCTGTTCACACCAACATTTTAGAAGATACTATATTTGCCTTTCAAGACTACAATATCATAATTTGATTCATTTTCAAAAACAACTATAAATTGACTATAAACCATGATAATTCCTCATCTTGAGGAATTATATTGGTTTCCTTAACACTCCTAAAAACTCCCATCAATTCCAATGGATCAACCCCCTGTTAATCTAATTCAATGGCATGCTAATGCACAGACTTCCTATCCACTCCTCTCTCTTGCAGGCTCTAGATCCAAACAGAACAGCTGTTTTTAAAGAGACTGGAATTCTGATTCACGTACATTTTCCCTGACTTTTTTTCCCCCAAAAAGGTCAGCGTTGATCTACTTGCCAACCAAGGTTATCAGCAAAACATGGGTTAACATCAACCTGAAGTGAAAAGAATTGGCATTCAGGTGGATGTTGATACTATTCAGTACTAATCAGATGAGATATTAAACCAAGGTCTCGCCTGTCAGTCCTGGTGAATAGACCCCATGGCACTATTCGAAAAGAGAAAGGAGTTTCACCCAGGGTCCTGACCACCATGCCCCCAAATAAAATTGGTCAATCACGTCATGGCTGTTTGTGGGACATGGCTCTGTGTAAAATTGGCTGCTGCACTTTGAGATATCTTTCCAATCTGAAAGGCTGGCCACGTGATTGGAACTTAGTGACAAATAACATGTTTCTATGGTGACAAAACAGTGCAGCTGCACAGTTCATCTTTTTGTAAATTACAACTCTTGTTGAACCAGAAAATACATGAAAATACACAAGATACCTACATTAGTTCCAATCACAAGTACTTAATTTGCGGCCCTCTCCTATTGAAAAAACAAGTTGAATCGAAACAAATGTAAGGATTAGGATTTCTTGTTGTTTTGGTCTTGAGCTCCCTACCCTAGGGGACACTTTTCATGGTAGGAGATTCAAGAACAAGACGGCATGAATTCAAGATGTGACTCGGGGAGTAAAAGGAGTGGGTCAGAACAATGTCTTCCACCAGAAACTGTCCGAATAAGTTATTTCCCAGATGTGGGGCTCTTATAGGAAAGATGGTTGAGGCATTTTTAAAAAAAATGTTGGTCAAGCTCATGCAACAACAACAAATTACATTTGTATAGCCTTTCAAATCAGGAGGACGTCCTAAGAAGCTGAACAGTCAGGGATACTCACCCAAGCTAGTGATTGGGATCAGGGTGGTGGAGGAGAGGTATAAGAGGATGACTGAAGGCATGGTCGAAAAGGAGGGTCTTGAGATGGGTCTTGAAGGAGGCGGCGAGGTGGAAGGACTGTGGGATGGAGTTCCAGAGGGTGAGGGCAGAGATGGTGGGGCGGGCAAGGCGTGGGATGTGAAGCAGGATGGAGCCCGCTGAGCAGAGGGAGCGGACGGGTTGGTAAAGGGTTAGGAGATCAAAGAGGTACGGAGGAGCAAGACCGTGGACAAGGTGAGAACCAAGATCTTGAACTGTATCCTCTGAGTGATGGGGAGCCAGTGGAGCCAGGCCTAGATGGGGGTGATAGTGTCACAGAGCCTGGTGCGGGATAGGACACGGGCTGCAGAGTTCTGGATGATCTGCAGCCTGTGGAGGGAGGAGTTGGGGAGGCCAACACGCTGGGAGTTTGCGTACTCAAGCCTGGATGTGATGAACAGGTGGATGAGTGTCTCGGAGGCCTACGGTGAGAGACAGTGGCGGAGCTGAGCAATATCACGAAGGTGGGGAAAGGCGGAGCGGGTCATGGCATAAATGTGGGGGATAAAGGACAGCTGAATGTCGAACAGAATGCCAAAGTTCTGCATTGGTTCTGTGAGGTGTAGAGTGCTTCCATGAAGGGTGTATGCTGTCAGAGAGAGGGTAGCAGAGGGTATGGAAAAGAGCAAGAAGATGTGGATGGATGGCTGGCTGCTTGGAGGAGCAAACTACAATACAAAAAGTGGGGCAAAAGGCCTACCTTATTGCCCCCATCCACTGGCACTCCATCCCGCAGTCCCTCCACCTCGCCCCCTCCCTTGCCTCCTTCAAGACCCGTGTCAAGAACCTCCTCTTCGACCATGCTTTTGATCACTCTGCTTACCCCCTTGCCCTCCATCCTCCCTGATCCTGACCCCCAGCTTGAGTCCGAAACTCTGACTGCCCACCGCCTCGGGACATCCTCCCGATTTGAAAGGTGCTATACAAGTGTAATTTTGTTGTTGTTGACACTTCTCTGGGTCGATGAAGATTGTTAAGGGAAGGAAAATTTTTTTCAAAATTTACAAAATATAGAAGGCAAAAATTGGTTGTGGGATCATCATGGAAACAAAAATGTCAATGGGCACTGAAGAAATCAAATGTGGTTTGCATTGAAGTGCCTTGTGATAGCTGGCCATGTGATTGGAACTTTGTGGCAAATAACATGTTTTTACGGAGACAAAACAGTGACAGCTACATGGTACACCTTTCGGTAAATTACGGCTCTTGTTGAACGAGACCAACAGCATAAGCATAAAAATACAGAAGATACCTACATTAGTTCCAATCACAATTACTTAATGTGCTGCCCTCTCCTATTCAAAAAAAAGTTGAATCGAAACAAATAGGCCTTGAAAGGGTTTAATACATTAATCAAACAAGACCCTGCACAGTCAATACGGTACAAGTACTTTTCAAATCCTGATGTCAAATGTATACAAAACCGGATGGTGTTGCAAATTAGTTTAACTGAGTTGAGAATACGATATCTGCAAAACAGAACTTGCTGCATTAACAGCAGCTTCTGGTTTGCAAATTAATTTGTAGAATTCACCATGTAAATATGGGGAAAAAAAGTTCAGAAAATAGGAAAACACATTATGATTCATTCTGAAGGTCATCATTTAATATTTTGAGGTTGGAATTTCTTTTTAGAAACATAACGTTGTGTCCAAATCATCACAGTATTCCATTTGCATCCTGATCAATGTTTGACACAAATTCATCACCTCCTCCAGAACTCCACTTCACTCACATCTTTGTATTTCTTCTGCACGTGCCTTTTTGCCTTTGTGTGTTAGCCCAATATGTGAACAGATTTCATTTTCAGCCATTTTGCTCCTTTTCTCAGCCACTGACTTGCAATCTGCCAATAGCATAATTTTCTAACTTTACAGCTTTTGCATCTTTTAAGCAATTGATCCGATACTTAAAAACACCTTTCAATGCCTACATGCCCTTATCCTGCCTTACCTCTGATCTCCTGTGAACCAACTCTTCCACCCATTCTCTCCACCCCATCAACTCTGGCCTGCTCCGTGTTCCCTGCACCATGTGTGGGCAAGCTTTCAGCCACCTTGCCTCTTTTCTCTGGAACTCTCACCCCAATTCCTTTAGTTTTCCCTCCCCATTTGCAAAAACAATATAAAAGCCTACCCCAACCCACCTCATCTCCCTGAGGATTCATCTCCCTCCAACCAATCTACCACCCAATTAGAGTTCGCAATCCATCTCTGAAGTATTTTGAGAAACAAGTGTAAGTTCTTGCAGATTAAAGTACAATGGCTTTGAGAAATCATTCTAACATGAATATGATCAACTACAAAAATAACACTACTTTTCAAAACATTGCTCTGTGCAAGTAATTCATTCAAATCTTTCAATACAGAAATTGAAAAACAAGAAGATTTCAGCTCCTGTAGGTACAAAGTTATGTTATGAATGCAACCAGATCACTGTTCACTCTTTGCTACAACACCCATCCAGGCAATAGTTTAAATACTACACATTAGATGATCTACAGATTAAAAAGATTCTTCTTCAAGGTTTTCACCAAGTCAATTATTTCACTTGCATATGGAACACAGATCCAATACTTTTTACTTTTCAAATTAATGCTATCTCTTATATTTTAATGCATTTAATTGATTAGGAAAAAAACATCTTGTTGTATGTCTGATTGTAAAGGAAAAAGACTTGTCTAAAGATTACTTATTAATTACAGTTATAAATGAATAGTAGCAACTTTCTGAGATGACCATTTTTGACACGATAAGTTACAATCACAAACTATTGTATTTACCCAGCTCTTTGCGTTCATATAAATTAAAAATAAACCCAGCATTTCTTTCCCCAAAATAAGGAAATGGACCCTTTCCAGTTGTCTTCAGAATGAGTTATAATCATTCTTGCAAAGCTGAAATTATTTCCATTCAGTTTTAGGAAGAAAATCATCTGGGCACTGAAGGAAAAAGCTCTTTACAGACTTCCTTCATGGTCTACAGTAATCAATCTAAATTTAAACATAGACCTGATGCTGAGGAACCTAGACAAGAACACAAGTCTGTCACAGGAGTAATCATGCAAGTAAAACACGACCAACGTTTTTCTTGAACACACTTAGAAACATATAGTGCAGTTTCCTTTATAGTTCAAACTAAAAATTTACATGTACCCAAACTTTGACCTCCATCCCATGTAAAGTAGTTCTCTTTTAACTATTTAAATATGATCACTCCCTCAAACCATTACCTTAGCAACCTCAAAACAAAATTCTGCTTTCAGTAGTTGTCCCAGTTGTTTAGCTGCATTGCATTAAAAAATACTTTACGGGGTGAAAAATGCAATGTCACAGAATCAATGTGATCATTGAATCTGTTTACCAAACGTTTACACCGCTTATATTTTTACCTGTCGTTGATAAAGTTGGATCATTTCTATTCCAAGGCATGAAATCAGAGATATAAAACTAAATGACAGAATAGTTTAAAAAGATCTGCAACAGAGTTAATTTTAAAAAATTGCAAAGGAACCAGGTGAAAAAATGCAATCTAACAAACTCAGCAATTTTTGGGGAATAATTGAGAGCTTAATGAAAAAGGATGTCAGCACACCTGAATTCTACAATTCAGCCATTAAAGCATCAGAATCACATTTAACGCCAAGTCACATTTAATGCAAACCAACTAGAGAATTGAGTCATTTCTACTCTGTGCTAAATCTG